GAGCCGCTAGGAGGCATGGGAAAGACGGCAGTAGAGGCTACCCAAGGCCCCTGAAGAGAAAGTGGCGATGAGGGCATAGGCTGGGAAATGGGGAAGTGAGTGGGCAGCGCCTGAGAAGGGTAAGATGAGCCAGGCTTCTGGTTTGGCAGGGAGGTGGCGCTCTCCATGATGATAGCCCAGCGCTGGCTCGCTCCACCGCTGAAGGAGATCCAGCCTTTCCAAGCCTGGATGCAGAAGGTGCAAAAGGTCCCTGAGTTCAAGCCCCTCAGCCACTGCTCCTGCTCCGTGGCTCAGGGTCCCTGGCTGCTGTCTCCCAAGGCCCAGCTCCTTGCACTTTCCTAGGGTGCCCAGTGGCTCACTGAAGCCACATCTCTCCGGTGCCATCAGGTGGCTCTGGGGGACATTGTGAGAGCTGGATGTTCCGGGGTTGAAGAGAGGAGCCATACAGGGCATCTTTATTCATCTCTGCGTCAGCAGCTGGCACTGGATTTCTTACACAGGGCAGGCCTGGTGAGCTCCTGCCCCTGATGGCCCAGCCCTCCTGGTACCAAGTACCTGGTTCCATTTGTAGGAGCGGATACACAGAACCAGGTTTGCAGGGGTCAGTGAATTTCCTTTGATGGAAGTTAGGGGCCAAGACAGAGCTGTCAAGTCATGGTGACCTCGTGCTATGGTAAATCCAAGCGGCTCCATATGGTTTCTTGGCTGTCATCTATGGGAGCTGCTTGCCAGGCCTTTATTCCAACGTCTGGGGGAGTTAGAATCCTAGCCCTCAGGTTAGTAGTTGAGCACCAGGCTCCAAAGGCCTGAATACTGGGGAGTAAATGTTTTGATGACTTCCTCTAGGTTCCTGAGAACATATCTGCAAACACGCCGCCTAGGGAGGCTAAGATGTAAATCATTTTGCGAGCCTGTTAGATGTGATGACTTCTTGGCTTGCTTCTCTCATGTGTTTTTATTTACTACTTGGTTGGCTTTTTTCTTGTGGTGGAACTAGATAGGACAGGGCCAGATACCAGAGGAACCCAGACCAAACCCAAAACCAAAAACCCCACACTGGTAGGGAAAAGAAGAGAGACCTCTGACACCTGAAATATTAATAAGTCAGGAATATAGTCAGGGGTCTCTCGTGCAGATTAATGTGAATGAGAGATACTTCTTCCAGACCTGTGCTGTCTCATGTGGTAGCCACAAGTCAGAACACTTGAAATGGAGCTGATCTGAACTGAAAACAACAAGAACTATAAATGCACGTGTTAGGTAGCGTTGACTAGAGAAACGAATCCAGGTGCACTCGTGTAAGAAAGAGCTTTATAGCAAGAAATAGATTCCAGGAAAACATCCCAGCCCAATCCGACTCATGTCCATCAGTCTGATACTAGTCCATGCGTCCCTCTACAGACTCATGCAGCCACATGCAATGGTGTAGAATGCAAGAAGACCAGACCAGTGGGTGCAAAGTCTTGGGGATCCAATGGCAGTGCACACATCCCCGGGGCTCTGGCAGCACTGAGGATCAGCCAGCAGGAAGGTGAAGGCAGAGAGAAGGAGGAGTTCCCAGGGCCCTCCTTATGAGAAGGCCATGCCCACAAGGAGGCACCATCAGGCTGTGACCTGATTGACAAGCTAAACTCTACCCCTAAACTTTTACATATCTTCAAGTTG